GTGGAGGCGGGCGAGAAGCTGGGGGTGCCCGAGCGGGAGCTGCCCAGCGACACCAGCATCACGGCGGCCTCGCACTCGTCGAACTCGAAGCGCGACAGGTCCGGGTTGGGGTTGGGGGGACCCCCGTGGGGACCCCCCAGGCGAGGCCCGGGCCCCCTCCCGCCGTCGCCGTCGCTCTCCCGCGACGTCTCGTCCCACTCGAAGTCGGCGCTGCCCCCTCGCTGCCCCCCCCCCGGCGGGGGGGGGGGGCCCCCCGCGGGCCCCCCCCCCCCGGGGGGGGGGGGCGGTCCCGGGCGGCCCTCGGGGAGCCCCTCGAGCTCCTTGGTTCTCATGGAGAGGTGTCGGGAGCAGAAGCCGCGGCGCTGGGACTCCTTGGTGCAGCCGTCGCGGGAGCAGAGCCGCCGCCACTGCTTCCCGTTGAACTTCTTGCGGATCCCGTTGGGGGTGCAGACCACGTCCCCCTTCTTGTACTTGGGCTGGGGGGTCCCCGCCGGGCCCCCCCCGGGGGTTGGTGCTTGATGAGGGGGGGTGGGAGCCACCACCACGCCCCCCCCTCCTGCAGCGGCGGGGCCGGGCCGCGGGGCCGAGCTGAGCTTGGACACCTCGGCGTCCTCGGGGCCGCGGGGCAGCAGCAGCTCCTCGTCCTCGTCCTCGACACCCCCGGGGGGAAGCTGCTCTGGGGGGCCCTGGGGGGGTCCCTGCGGGGGCCAGGGGGGCCGCAGCAGCCGCAGCCCCGAGCGGGGCACCCAGACGGGGGGCGCGGGGGGCGGGGGGGCGAAGCGCACGCGGTACGAGGGGGGCTTGGCGCTCACCTCCACCACGGTGCCCGGGCGGTACAGGGTCTCCTGCGGGTCCAGGCGGGCGCACACGGCCGTGCCCACGCCCAGCGCGCCCGCCGGGGGGGTGGCGTCCAGCACCACCCAGGGGGGGTCCCCCCGCGTCAGGCCCCCCTCCAGGAAGGTGATGCCGCGGTCGCCGGCGAACTGCACGCCCAGGTCGTGGCCGCGCCGCAGCTGCTTCACCACGGCCGGCCGGAAGACGCCGTCGCGCCGCGCCAGCACCCGCTGGCAACGCAGCCGCCGGAACGCGGCCTCGGCCGGGCCCGGGGACGCGGGGGGCACCGCGGGGGGCAAGGGGGGGTCCCCGGGGGTCCCCGAGCCGCCCCCGCCGCCGCCGCCGCCCCCTTCGTCGGCCGAGTGCTCGCTGGCCGTGTCCGTGCTGGAGCGGGGGCTGCCCTCGCCCCCCAACCCTGA